CCTATCCCCCTGTGTGCCTTGCCTCCCACGTACTTTTGCATTGGTGTTTGTAATGACCTAACTTTTTCACATTTATAACATTACTGGTAAGTTTCCTTTTATTTTTAGTATTTGGAGAGAATTTGTTTATAAATTTTTGTTTAGACTTTTTATATTGTTTATGTGCTTTATTGGATTTGGATTTATATTTGTTTTTTTTGTATTTTTTCTTTTTCTTATATAACTTTTCATGTTTATTTTTTCTATCTCAATGGTATCCAAATTGTTCACAGAAATCATCAAGTTCTTTTTGCTTGGTAATTTGCTGTTTATCTAACTGTCTTTTGAGTTTAAGATCAGTACATAAAGCTAATCCTTCAGCACATATTTCTGCTGATAGTTCTCCAAGTGTATAAGCCGAGTATACTATAACTCCATTATGGTTCTTTCTAAGTCTTTCTTTGACTTTTTCGGTAAATAAGTATGGTAAACCAGCAATAAATTTTTCTTTTCAATGGTCTAATTGACAATCTTTTCGTATTAGTAATATTGAGAAAAAGACATTCTTATACCATTTATAATGGGATAATGTAGGACAACGAAGATTGGATAGCAGATCTCTGATCTTGTTGCCAATAGGGCAGTACTTCTTACAAAATGTAATGTAATTGTATATATTAAGGTGTTTACTGCAACACTTTCAGTATAGATTATTTCTTGATTTTGTTCATTTCTGGCGGTCCATTGTCTTGTATTGGTAAGGATTCTATTTTTGGTTTCATCATCCACATAGAAATCCCACCAGCCTCTTAACCAGCCAGTGAATCCATTTACTATTGCTTTGGCAACTTGGTCTGGGTTGCTTGCCATTTTGTTTGCTAAAGCAAACATTGTCATATGTCTCATGACATCTAGTATTTTTAATTCAGATAAACCATCTATTGTCCAATTAACTATTGATCTACCTGAATAGAAAACAACTTGTTGTATGGCATCTTCTTCAAGTTGTACATCAACAGGTGTAAGTCTCTTATAATATGGTAAAGTTGTGATTGGTTTCCATGTTTTACCATAGGCGATTCTGTTTATATCCATAGGTGTAGTATCCATGAAAGCAGATTCTTGGTTTTGTATGGTATCTTCTATAATTGGTTCTTCTTCTTGGAGCATCATTGTTTCATGCTCAGGTATCTTTATTTTTCCTTAATCTGAAGATTCTGGGATAGTTGGTAAAGGTTTTATTATTTTCGCCGATATGGAATTTATTTTTATTGAGTTCTGGAGGTGGTTTAAACAAAACTGCTTTAGGAGTTATTCCCTTAGTTTGAGGAGTAACTAATCGTTCTATACGTTCTGCTTGTTTTCCTAAAGATTGCATATATAAATTAGTATAATTGTTTTGTTCCACGATATGAGGTATTAGTTCTTGTTTTTACCTATTTTTTTAGGTAGGACTTTATATGGTGTTGCAATAATATCATATAGAGATTGTGGTGCTTCTCCTTTGCTTAATGGGGTTATGGCACTTTTGAGTATTATACTTTTTTCAAGAGGGTGTGTACTAGCAGTAGTAGTACCATCCGTACTAATATATGTTTTTTCTTCTATGGTTTGAAGAGTATTAAATGGAGGAATGTTTATTTTATATTGAGTACATATTTCTTATAACCATATAAAAAATCCTTTTGTTTCTCTTTCTTTTTTCAGAAATTTGTTATATTTTTTATGGAATAATTCTATTAACCTAGGTTGAAAAGTTTGAAGATACCATTCCCTAATACCTTGATTTTCTAGAGAAAGATAATCTTTTTTGAGATATTGAATATCTATTTTTCTCTTTCTTCGTTCTAATTTAGCAGTTAAATATGTTTCTATATGTGTATCATATGCATTATTATTATTTATATCTTCTTCTATATCATCTTCTATTTATAATGTAAGTATTTGAAATTCAGCTATGTCAGGTTCAGATGTATATGTAGGAATGACTACATGATCAGCTGTTCTTTTGACTCCTTGTAATTGGAAGTCTGAAGATGTTGTAGGTATTGTCGGAGAATAAAGTATGATAACATCGGGAGTAGTATGACAAGATTTTCTAGCAGGTATTAATGGTTTTTTATTTCTTTTCCTATTAATATCTATATCATCCTGTACTATAGGCTGTTGGAATTTTATTTCAATATTTCCATCTTGATGTTCTATCATTTGGTTTGGAATATTATTCACAGGTACTTCTCTGGGCTGGTTTGCATTTTGCAATGCCCATGATTGAGGTAGAATAATATCGGACCAAGTAATGGTTTTTGGTATAATCGTATTTGATTTTTCTAAATTTGTTTGAAATAATATAGTTTGATCCTTTTTATCAGCTTGCATAATATTAGGACAGAGAGTATTCATTACTTTATAATAAATTCTGTATACTATTGCCAAATTCTGAGAACCATGTATCATATTAAATCCATGAGTTTTCAAATTTGTAGTTAATATATCTAATATATTTGGGTCGGTTAAAGAAACAGAAAAATTTGGAAACTTATTGTGTCTTGTATCTCTTAGGCATACAAGCACTGAAGTGTTTAACCCTAAACGAGTTAAAGGTTTAATGACTATTTGGATTAATTCAATGTGCAAATATTTTCTTTATGTTTTTCAATCATTTTTCTTGATAATAATTGAAAGTCTTCTTGGTTTTGAGTTACAGATAGACTTTCTTCTACTGTTTTTATAGCATAACCTAATTTAAATTTGAATGATCCTTTCTAGTAAATATCTTTTATTGGTACTTTAGGAATATTCCAATTTTGGATATGATGTTCAATATCATTTATGATGATCTCCTCTTTATTTTTAACTCTTAATGTTTGAGTTTGAGTTGCAGTATTACCTTTAAGATTCCTAATTAAATTTGCCATCTGTAGGTTGCAGATAATGACAATCTGGACGATCAAGGGTCCAGCGTGTTCCCCTAAGCGGCTCTTCCTGGCCTTGACGGGTACTTTGCCTAGACTTTTCTTTTCGTCTCTTGTCTTAACTCTCGGATCAACTTTATTATAAGTAAATTTAACTAGGTTTCTACAGTAATATTGTAACTTTTCACTCTTAACAGTTTACTATTTTTACTGTTGGCTCTGATACCAAAACGCACCGGGATCTACAGTAAAAACATTATATATTGTTTAGAGTAAGTATGTGAATATTAAACTGTTATATTTTAGTATTTCTTGCAAAATTTTGTAAAAGTTTAGACAAAATAGAATTATGCAGATGAAAGGTAGGATTGATATATCTATCACTAACCACTGTGTGTGGTTGAAATTCCCTATTTTAAAACTAAACACTATTTTAAATTGCATAACATCAATATTTCATTCTTATAGAAATTTGTACATATACATTCAAAAGAAATACAAACTGTAAAGTTACAAGTAACGGACTGTATACAAACTGGTACAGACTACAAAAGAGACTATCTGTCAGACTACAAAAGAAACTATCTGTAAATACAAACTGTAAAATAACACACTTACTGTTTACATATGCAATAACTGGAAAATAGTTTCCAGTGTTGAGGGCAATAGGAAGGAAGAGAGCGAAAATTACAATCACACATGCTAGGTATAAAGGAAAGAATGAAAAGATAGAACTTGGAAAGCAAAGTGAACTATTGTGATCTGGTATTCATGAGCTATGAAGTCAGGATAGCTGTTGTATAGGCAGAGAGAGCAGAGAAGGGAAGAGATGAGAGAGGAAGAGAGCTTCCGAGACCTGAGAAAAGAAAGGAGTTTATTTTGCGACCTGCTTATTGTGAAGGCCGAAGGTGGCTTATGTAGGCGAAGTGAGGAAGCTTAAGGACGAAACAAAGAAAAAAGGAGATGACCTTGATGGGACAGAGAGACAAGATATAAAGTAACAGGACAAGACAAAAGAGAAAAAACAAAAACAAAAAGCAAAAGCAAATAGTATTTTTTGTCAGGAATAGGACAAAATGGCATCTTGCAATAGTATCTTTTTTGTCTTCTTGTGTCG